ACAGTCTCAAGATAAAAGAAGTCCATCCAGTTATATAGAGTCAACAACCTGCTTACAGCAAGTATCAACATAAACATGCCCACTCCAGAAAAGTTTAATGTGTGTACAAAATTCAGCATTGCTTCTAGTGCTGCTGCTTGAAGAAACATTGCCACAAGCTTGTGGGGAGGAAAAAACCTTCAGATCTTACCATAATTATGTGAAAAACATGAATATATCATCTCAAAGACACTGCACTCAACTGCCTGAGCTCCTTCTCTGTAGACTGAAGTGACACATTTCTATTTCAGTAAAAACAATTTTAAGGCTCCCTCATTTCCAAATGATTATTCTTAATTCACTGCTCTGACATTTCCTATAATAAGTTAAAAAATAAGAATTTGCTGAGATTAATTGATATTTTAAAAATACAGCAATAGCTCAGGATATAACAAAGGTAAGAAGTTTGACTGATCTTAAAAAAAAGTCAAAAGCATTATTCCTACACTTAATTTGGTTACAAAATTTACACTAAGTAGGAATCTCATTTTGCAGTTCCTTGTTATATATCACTATTAATTAGCATTTTCTCCTTTAGTAACTCTAAGGTTACACTACATTATATTCGCTGCATAATGCTCTGGAATTGTATTTTTGGAGAGAAACTAATAAAGAGCCAAAGACATTTCAGACAAAATATTTCCATGAATGTAGCTACTTTCTGAAGGTTTACTCATATTTTCCTCAGTGCATGCATTTCAAAAAGGGCATGTATGCTTAGATGCCTAAATTATCAGAACAAAAAGTGCATCTGTAAAAATCAGAGGAAAAATTCTTCTCGAATACAGTTATGAAGAAAAATGAGAACTGAATTTTAAAATAATTCATGAATGCTTGACTAGAGAGTGAGCAAAATGAGTACATCCATTTTCTCATTGCATGTGGTTCCTTTAGATACTTACGTGTATCCACATACTTTTTAAGAAACAATGTTTTAAATTCACATATCCCAAAACCTCCACAACCTCAATGTTTCATCACATTTTCCTACTGAGAATTGAAAAGAGGAATTACACTTCTCTCTGCATTTAGTTCCATGTTTTCAGTGAAACCAGTGATGTTACCTGTAACAAACACTGTCAGTACAGGGGCCGTGCACTCTCACAATGACAAAGACGTGCTGGAAGTGAGATCGAATGTTCTTTGGGCTGAATGGTTGTGCTCCAGGCTCCTGGAAAACTATTGTCACAATATCATTTCCAATATGTCGCTTTCTCAGAAGCTAAAAAAAAAAAAGATGAAATCAAGGAAGCACATGTTAAAATTTTTCTCACAGTTTTTGAAGTATTTAGTGGGTTTTTTTCCTATTATTATTGTTCAGTCCTATATTTCAGGCTGAAAAACAAAATGATTGATGATATATATATATATGAAATTTTTAAGCTAAATGAAAGCACGAAAACCAATAACAAACACCTACTGGTATGTAATTGGAGTCACCAATCAGTAATACATGGAAGCTGGAAAACATTTCCCACTTCACACATCTTTACAAGGTTCAATTTCAAGTTAAAATTGTTGTCATTGTTAAGACAGTCTATAATAATTACCTGATGCAGTATTCATTCAGCAAATCTAAGACTACAGTAAATAAGAAAGGTAAATTATAGCATAATATTTACTATATAAAGGGAAGCTACAAAGAAAGCTGTGGCTTTTTTTTTAATTGTTAAAGGAAATGTCAATTTTATTTGCAGAAACGCAAACAATCTTTAGAATAAAATAGATACACATCATACTCAACAAGATGGTCAAGTACTCAACAATAAAAACGTAATGAACTTCATTCAAATGTATCAGAAGGGAAATTCATGTGGACACAGGACACTTAGATTAACAGCTTAGTTCCTGAAAAAGGTGTCATGGATCCTCACTGGTCTCTGTTTTTTCTCTGGGATAAAGGAAAATGTCACTATTTCTCTCCAAAAATAATGTGATGCCTCAAATTAAACTTTGTAGTAGTCCAAGGAAAGCAAGGAAAGCAGTCACCTAATTGATTAGCTTTTCTTGCCTTTTAAAGACCAGGAACTTCAAAGTAACAAAATAGGACTACACGCTTCTTCAGTATATTAAAAAATACAAGAATAAAAGAAAATGCATTTGTTTCACTCATCTTCTTTCAAGTGGCTGCGCAGTGTTCTGGGTTCTCACTTGTCACCTCTGATTCTGCACACATTACTGTTTGCTGAATCAAAGTATGATTGACCTTGTCACACAAGGCTGAAAACTGTCATGTATGCACTTATGTAATACAAATGCACTACCGACATTATAACATAAATATTTTCATTTCAAGTTTTACTAAATAATGCATAATGAGACAGAAAAACAGTCCTACGGAGAAAAATCTAGTTAGACACCTGCACCTGTAGTGTACCTACGATAACCTGCCCTGCTCATCTTTGTGATGCAGATGGCCATTTTTTTCTTTGCTAGTAACAAATAACATTTGTCATAATTATTCATTACTTCACCTGCTTTTGAGACAGGAAAAATTAATTGTAAGCAGTCACAGTCCATCTTACCTGCTGTTTGTTGTTTGGAGTATATGGCAACATAGTAGAAACATGGAACATGATTTCATAGTCCTTGTATGTTGTATATAGAGAATGAGTACCTGTTGAATCAGCTTCAGATAAGGAAAGAGAAAACAAGAGCATTATTAAAAAACAAGTTCAAAATAAGGTTTCATTACTATCAAACAAAATCACGAGACAAGACAACAATTCCTATTCATCCTCAATCCTAGCTTATGTGAAAGCAAATAAAAACTTACCTACAATTTGTTCACCTGCCAAAGCAAAACACATATAGGCTGCACGTATAATTTGACATACTTTTGCCAGTGATGAGTTTGCTAGGAATAGAGAATTTTTCCCAGAATATTGTGAAAAAAGTCTATTGAAGCATGAAAGGTGGAGAAGAAACACAAGCCATATATATATAGAGATGGGTGGGTATAAGCCTACAGAAACACACACACTATTAACATGTGTATATCAGTACTAGGTACTAAGACAGAATCATGCAATAGGGGGAAAAAAAAAAGGTATTCTCCTCACAGAGAATGTATTAGTTTACATATGACAAAGTAAACTACAACTTTCCTACTTCGTGTTAAATTAAAGGAGCATTCAGGCTCCATTTGGTGGGCCACCTGGATCTGCATGGTTAGAAAGTCACTTCCTCATTATTGGGCGCTGCTTTTGTACCCTTCTTTGGAGACTCACTTCTAAAATAATTGTATTGATTGGATTTTTTTATTTCTTTTTTGAGGCAACACTTTTAAAAACTATATTTATTATTTTTAGACAGGTGGAGAGAGAGGTTAGAACCCAACTCTGTCACTGTCTCATTCAGAAATGGAAAAGTACTTTTGCAGAGCACTAAGCAACCAGAAAAAACCAACAGCCAACTTCCAAAACAGACAGAAAATAAAATGCATTTTGGTATGTTCAGGGATTCTTTGTTTGGAAAGGGAAAGCAAAAAGTTCATTTATATTCTGGGAATTATAGATGAGTAACTAGATATAATCTTTTTCAGAAACCACCTAGCATCTCAAACTAATGGAATGAAACTGAATGGTAGAGAATGTGGAAAGGACTTCAACAGGTGCAGTGATCTCATGCATAATCAGTGATGGATATATAACACACAACATGAAAAAGAACAGAATGGGTTACTTTAAACATAAATAACAGGAATCTGAATTTAATGAGTAAGATAAAGCCTTCGCTAATAATGGTACTTAATGGAAAAGAGCAGTCAAAATAGAATTTTTTGCATGCTTATGAGATAACAATGTGGAAAAAGCCCACAACAATGACATACTGCTGGTATATTAATCAAAGGTACTTCACTATTTTAAAAGTTATAGAAGAAATAGAAGGAATTCAGAAACAGGCCACAAAAATAATTATACATGGATGGAGAGACTTTCATGGGAAGAGATAACTAGGATTACAAAGTTTATAAAGAAAAAAAAGGGGATAACATTAAAGTTTATGAAGTGTTAGTTAAAGAAAAAAGGACAAAAACTTGAAAATACTAAATTAATTTAAATTGTAACACATTTTAAAGCTGAAATAGTAAATATACTCCATTATACGTAACAGCTACCCACAGTGCAAAAATTCAGGTTTCAAGCAGAATTTTAGAAGTAATTCATTTACATATAGAAAAAAGCATCCTGAATATCTGAACTTGTAATTGAAACATGCTACTACATTATACAATCTCAGCCATTTACAGCAAAAAAAAAAAGTTGATAAGCCTTTATATACTGCATGTTGGAATATTTCACATTAGCAGAGCTCATGTTACTAAGGAAATGACTGTGAAGTATTTACAATGACGTGCACTGATTATTTACATAGATTATGGGTATAAACTTTGACGTAAACTTCTATTTTCCTGTCAAATTTAGAAAAACAAAGGTAGCACTGCCATCAGTTAGAAACTGCAACATCACCTGTAAAGTGAAATGCAAAAATTTCTACATCATGAACTGCATGGAGATTTTGCATTTCTAAATAATCTGTACTTATTAAAAAGAGAAAAATAAAGCAAATATGTTTCTGGAATCTTATTAAAAAACCTCAGTAAACACTTCAAACAGTTTGGGCTCTCTTCTTCAACATACAACATTGTCATAAAAAAAACAACAATCAGCTAACTGCTGAATATTTTCTTTTTAATGTTAATTACAAAAGCTGAAGTGGAGTCATTTCATCTTGTGCTCAGTCTGCAGCAGCTTGCATCATCTGCTTGATCACGACAGCACTTGCTGAAGGAGGCAGATGCACTTGAAAGTCACCCAAACATCAATCTTCCTCCTTACTCAGTCTTTTTTTTTTCCTTCCCTCAGTATGCAATTTTGTACATAATCTTCACTAGAAGTGACAGAAATATTAGAGAGAATGCAGAGGAACGGGGGGCACTCTGACTCATTATTAAAAATAATACTCTAGAACAACAAATATGTGTTTAAGCCAAACTTCCAACTTTCATGAATGAAGTTCGTTGTGGGCAGAAAAGGGTTTTTTCTTTGCTGTCCTACCCACCTCGAAGTGCACAGAAATCTCACAGCAGTATTGGTTCTACATATTCAGTAAGATACAATCCTAATAACTTAATTATTCCAATAATTTTGCAAAAACTTCACAGCTTAAATCCCTCCTATTCAACTCCAATATAAACAGAAGTCCATATCCAGTACAGACCTGCGTATCTTCTTCACCCTTTGCATTTCTTCTTTCTTGCAAGACCACAATACTTCTACTGAAGCACAATAAAATAATTACTGATATTTGTTTGAAATGAAGTCACTGGCATTGCAGCAAATTCAAAGATTAGGCACTGGAATAGTATCCATCATTCCACAATAGGAAATGTCAGCCAACACTGCAATTGCCTTTAATTCCCCTGTATTTGATAGAGGCCTGAGGGTCCTACAGATTCATGAGTAACTTTTTTACACTGAGGACAAGCTTTCTTGTCATCTGTTTATGGTATATCCATGGACGCTGTATTCTCAGCCCTGTCCAAGTATTGGGTTTGCTTACTTAGCTGCAGACCTCTTCCTTCCACCATTATTCAACTTTAAAAATCCATCCCCTTGGTCTGCATTTCCAATGCTTTTTAAGTTACCTACACAAGGACTATCTTAATAGGATTCCATGTAGATGATTTTTTCAATACAAACTGTGCCCAAAATCATTACTGACAAAAATCATTGATAAACTCGAGCAGAACCTTACTAAAGCTGTGAAGCACACTCCTACAGCACCTTTTCAAAACTGTACAGTAAGAAAACTTCATAAAAGCAGTAAGAGTAGAAATCCCAACTCAGTATTCAGAAGGAAAACACGCTCCAAAGAATTGTAGGTAAACAAAAAATAAATGATACCAATTGGGCAGGAGAAAGAACAGTCATTACTACAAACTGCAGCAGTGCTCAGAAGAGAGAAGCACAAGAACTAAATGTTTCAGAGCTTCATACTGCTCCCATTTACATCTGCTGTCAAGATGTCCTGACTTGTTCCTATTTTCTCCTAGTTATTGGCCCAACGTCAGCACCTATCAGACCTGCCTGCCTTTCTGTCATACACAAGGACAGTACTGAGCATTCACATTCAACTGCCATAACAGTCATGCTGTTTTCAGATACCATTTCTGAGGACAGAATCCTTTATTTTGTAACATACAAACATTTATATGCAACACAAATGCAGACATTCAAATTTCTCTTCCTCCTATCCCCCAACCCTTTTTCATTTTTAAAACAGTCCAGGACTATTTGATTTTTTCTTCTTATTATTTGTTATTATTATTTTTTACTCTTAGACTCCCAGTGAATATCTCAGACCCAATATTCTTTCTTACAAATTGCTGCAAAGAAGTGCATGGTAATTCATTAGAAACATTCCTGTTTTTCAAAAAACCTGATTTGAACACCAGTTTGAAGCTCATCCATTTCCTACACTTTTCACCTATTTAATATATTTTATGCTGTTTTAATATTCTTCCAAAGTCTTAAACAAAAAATCATGGAATATAACATTTAATACAAAAACCTATCATTATCAGCTGAATTGATAATCTCATCAGGCGGATTTATTTCCTGCACCACAGGCACTGTGACACTGCTGAACAGCAGCTCAGGTTACCAGGCCCAGCATCATCCAGCTGCTTTACTTTACTATTTTAAAATACTGAGAAGTAAGACTGAGCAAGGGGGAGGGAAATAACCCATGTGTTACAACACAATTAAGCCAAATGACTGAAGTTACAATTTCAAAGATTACTGTGGTGTTTGTTACTTTAAAGTGATGCCTATAAACCTCCTAGCAACTGTAGGAGAGGTGACATTTTCAAGCTCTATTTCCTATCCAAAGTCTTCAGGCTGCCAGAAGATAGATTGTTTCCCCTGCGGTAAAGCTAGAAACACACAAACAAAACTTTAAATGTAGCAGTTCTTCTCCACCGTTGCACTGGCAGAGATTCAAAGCTAAAACTCTTACAGGATCCAATATACTTAAATAGCCTTTCCATTAATAGGATGAATAAAATTCCTTCTTTTAAAAGTTGGCACTGTTACATATACTTACCAATTAGGCCCGTAATTCTAAAATTTTCTAAGAATGACTGTTCTGAAATTATGTTTATTATAGCAACTTTACTTCTCCTAATTTGCATAAAATATGAAAGTGTTGTGAATTTTTCTGGAGTAGACATAATAATCAGCTTCTCTCCACACTGAGAAAGTCTTCCATACTGTCTTGCATCATGCATCTGCTTCTCCTAGGTGGCAAAGTATTGCAAAAGCATAGAAAGTGGCAAAGCAGCCCACATAGTTTTGACCTTTCTTGCAAGTTAATGAACAATCATCTGTTTTTAACAGCATCATACAATCAGCTGTGCTGGCATGGAACAAATTTTATTCAGGAAAATGTCCGGAACAACGAGAACTATACACGATGGTAGCACAAGAAATATTTCATGAAGGTGGTCTCTAGCAAGAGCACAAAAACAGAAGAGAGAAGCTAGCTTCCTAGGCTGTGGGCCTCTATATACCACAGGAATTCCAACAAATCCTATAAACCTAAGTCATGGCAAAACCACAACCTCTGCTCCACAGGCTTTCCACGTGAGGACAAGTACAGAAAAGACAGGTTAGTTACTTAGGGCAACTATCAAATATGCACTGCCTGCATGCATTCTGCTCTTCACTATATCACACGTGTGAGATTCTGACCTGAAGGCCACCTCCGGACTTAATTGTTTTGCCTACCAATAATCTTCTAGAGAAACAAGAAGTTCGTTCAAGCAGCCTTTCATCTCTTCCTCAGCTCAGAATGCAGATCTTTGGAAATGACAGCAGCAGAAATCTGCAATGATGCGCTTTTCAACACACAGCTGCTCTTGAGTAGGAGGAACTCAGCTCCTCAGCCACCTGCAAGTCCTCAGGACTGGCACACTGTGCCTGCTCGAGGCTCTGGCCACCTCATGATGAGCAAGTCAGCATGCTTCCTCAGGGCTGCAGATAGCAAAGACCCGGCTATACTACAGTGAACCAGCAGGGGCTCCCAAAACAGCTACTTCTGTTACCAGGAACTTCATCTCCTAACAAAATATCAAGGAATAAAACTCCAACTGAAACTCGAGGATAAACCTGCTTTTAATTATACTCCTCTTCGACTCATATAGATGTCCTTAGGCTGTTCAGTATGTCTCACACGGCTTTCTGTCCCATTCTCAGAGATAGATTTCTGAAATTATCATTTAACAAATACTACAAAGAAAGTTTTGGGTTTTTTCTATCACTAGGCAGTGTTCCCAGCACTGTGCTTTCTTCCTCCCTTGCTGCTGCTTCTTAGTGCTGTGTCAAGTTAAATAATCAGTCAATTATAGCAGCCCCAATATTTACTTCGCTAAATATTTAGTAAAGGCTGGAGACTTTCTGCTAAGTTGATGTTTCTTCTTAATAGTCTGTGTCTATACAGAATACACAATAATGGTTTCTGAATGAAGCTACCCCGAAGAGCTTAGTGCTGCGTCCTCAAAAACATTTATCTTCTTCCATTTCCATGTCCACCCAACAGGTGGACATAAACAAACAATTTGACAAAATTCTTTCCCCAAGTCAGAAGGAACAAGAAAGAACTACAACACTTCAAACTTCAAACAAGTACGTAAGACGGTTGCAGCTTTCATAGTCCATCTGATCAGATGAATCAACTCCTCATCATATGGCATTTCTTGTGCTAGAAACCAATGTGCAGACTGTCACCAAAGAAGCTGGTAACAGTCCAAAGGTTTTTTTCAGATGTCTTACAAAAACTAGACCAAAAGAAAGGGAAGACACTACTTTAGTGTATCTATTAAAAGTAAAAAGGAGGTTACAATATAAAGCCGGAAGCTACGAAATCAGGAATAATATTTTTCATTTTCTGCACCCTTGATTTTTGACTTGGCTTGTTTTTATGGCAAACTAACACTTCAGTGTTGCAAAAAAGGAAACTTAACCCTAGAATATAACACATGATGTACCTCCAGTAAAAGAAAGAAAACGTTAAAGAAACTGTCCTGGACCTCATTTGGAATTGTACATGTGGTTATCGCCACTAAAATTAATGAGATTGTATTCAAACTGAGATAAGTACAACAGGAAGTTACCAGGTAATACTGTCCATGGGGAAGTAGAGAAATCCACATGCCCCAGTCAATAACAACAACTTGTCTATTAGGGTTAAAGCACAGAGGAGACAACTGCAATATCTAAATGCACTCAAGAGAATAAATGCAACAAGAGAAACTCAAGTATTGCAACTAAAAGACAAAGTCGGCTCAATGGTAAACATGAGGAACATGTATTAAATTTATTTTAAAAATAGCAAGTTTTCTAGCCCTCAGAGTAGTGATGCTTAGGCTGATCAAAAATAGCATGGGGGGATGGCAACAGGTTCCCCGCAAGCACCAAACACACAGGGTAAAATGCTGGAATATTAAAGCAGAGCAATTTACAGCATTTGTGATAGGATAATCATGGCAAAAGCAATTTTTGGTGCACTGAAGTTGATGAATGCTTTTCTGCTATTAGGACTCATTTCCTTAAATTCCTTTGCTGCAAGGGAATAAAACAGTGAAAAATTTCAATAGCATTTGGTTAATTCCAATATTTGAAGGAAAGGAAGGGAGACCAAAATTGTCTCGAGTATCTTTACGTAGATTTACAAATGGAATGAACTAGCAGTAGCTGATAACAGGTATTCCACAAACTCTACTAAAAAAAATTAATATTTCTTTTATACTTTGTCACCTAAAATCATCGTTCAACTGCATTTTTGTTTCATTTAATGTTTTATGGTTAAAGTTGATACTATTGCTGTCTAATAATCTAATTTCTATAAATCTACAGAAAATCATGTAGGCAAAAACACATTTGACAGCAGGAAAAAACAGTTTAGATTAGAAATTACATATAACAGGCATAGCATAAAAGCAATAGATCAACTTGTCAAGGTGGAATTATTTGGGATCCCAAAGCATTTTGAGCCAGTTCATTAGCATATTAAGAAATTCCTGAAATACCAACTGTTTTGATTATTCATCACACAATACAGTAACGAGGGCTTTGCAATGGTGATAACAGTTCCATATTCTACTGGTTTCTTGTTGCTGTTTTAGTGATAATTTCATACCAAATTAGTATAAAATTCCAATAAGTCCAATCATTATCAAGACCATATGTGTCTGGGTCAATGTACATACTTGCTCAGCTTTCACTTTCAACAGTGAACAACATTCTTCCCATTGCAAAGAGCCTATATTTATCAATGACATTGACGACGGAATTGAGTGCACCCTCAGCAAGTTTGCTGACGACACCAAGCTGAGTG